TTCTAAAAGATAATCATAATTGGTTTATATGGTTATGTTCCCCATCTCAAAATCTACCTCTGGTAAAAATTTCAGGTCTCTATCACGTACTATTGAGGAGATATCGTAAAAACTTCTTCAACGAATAATTGACAAAAAATCGCTTATATCGATAAAAAGCTATTTTTCGTGCTTTTAGAAGGATCGGCGTATCTCAGTCAAAATTTATTCTTTAAGTCTAAAAATTTGGCTACATGCCTAAAAAAATTTGCTCTACAAAATGAGATAACCTTCATCCAAATCTGAGACTATGACTGAGCAGCCTCCGGCGTGGCGCTCGTGCAGTGACTCTTAGGGGTCGGCAGTTACCGTTCCCAGACCGTTCCCCAATAACGGTAACGGTAATAGGTGTACGCTTGGGTCGTCAAGGCCCACTAAAAAAAAATTTTTTGTAAACAAATATTTTTAAGTAAACAAATTTTTTTAGTAAACAAATTTTTTAGTAAACAAAATTTTTTACAACCAAATTTTGGGGTGTTTCATCGAAAAATTATTTTTTCTCCGAAAGTCTATTTCTCTATTTAAAAAAATTTTTCCAGAAAAAAAATTTTTGCAAGAATAGAACTTGAAGACCCTAGGATACCTACGTATAGTTGGTCTTGAGAACCATAGGGTTTGGGGCTGGAGACGTGAGATAGTTACCGAACCGTTACTAGGTACCTGTGAACGTAACGGTAACTTCTCATTCCTAGTCAAACCTAGTCAAATCTAAGTCAAATCTCAGTCAAATCCAGTCAAACTCAAATCCATATCTAGTCAAATCTAGTCAAACCCAAATTCAAATCTAGTCAAGTCCAGTCAAACCCAAACCTAGTCAAATCCAGTCAAATCCATATCCAAATCTAAGTCAAACCCAGTCAAACCCAAACCCAAATCTAGTGAAACCCTGTCAAACCCAGGATTTGAGTTTGACAGGATTTGGATTTGGTGCACCCCTACTCACGGAAACGTATGCAAAAGCAAACCTCTTGAATACCTAACACGGACGATGAACCACATCGAAAGACCACATTCAACTGTCTCTTTTTCACTGATATAGCCCAAATATAATTAATATGATAAGATTTGTTATTTATTCATATACATTGATCTCGTAATTAAGTATTGGCACATGATTAGTTGACTATTGCATCGTACGACCAATTAAAAATTTTTAGTCACTGTTAAAGCGAAAAAATCATTAAAATGTCCTAATTGAAGAAAGAAAGGACCGCTGTCAGAATTAGGGACTAAAATTCACATGAAAGTGGGATTTACGGATAATGTATAGTTGCGTCCGAATTAGAGATAAAACAGCAGCCGTCATAATAGGGAAGCTTTTTTCATGATTCTGCGGTTTCTTCATTTGAAGATGTGTATCTTACCAAGTAGAATGCATTTGTATGGACGGATGAGTATATGTGTGGGTACCTGTTGGTGAGACTGTGATTGTGGTTCTGAGTGCGCGGGTTTATAAGTGTGGCTTCGTGTGGGTGTCAGCACGAAAGATGCAAAGAGTGACACCAAGACACCAACAAACTCGAACACTTACACACACCGACTCACATAACCACGCCCATACCCACACGCACACCCACACACACCTACCCACACCCACACCCACACCCACACCCACACCCACACCCACACCCACACCCACACCCACACCCACACCCACACCCACACCCACACGCACACGCACACACCCACCCACACCCACATACACACACCCACGCAAACCGACACCCACGCAAACCCACACCCACACCTAGGGATGCAACAGTGACGAATAATCACCGATTAACCGTCACCGTTTCACCGGTCCGAACCGGTAACCGTACCTACGGTTACCGTAGTAAGTACGGTAACCGTAGGTACGGTAATCGGTTGAAACCTTTGTCAAGAAAAAAAGCATTTTTTTAAGTAAATTACGATATTTTATAAAGGTTGACGAAAGGAAATTGAGCTCAGAGAATCCGAATCTGAAATCGGATCCCTACACGTCTCAACTTTCACTTTCCAAGACTAAGCCGCCGCTTCTTGAAAATTGTGTTTTTTTCTCGAAATATTTATTCCTGATAAAGATTATATGTGAAGACTAAAACCGATATTTTCAAAAACTGACGTCAGATTCGGATTCTCCGACCGCGATTTACTTTCGTCGACCTTTATAAAATATCGTTATTTTCTTAAAAAAATGCGTTTTTTCTTGACAACGGTTTGAACCGGTTACCGTACCTACGGTTACCGTAGTAAGTTCAGTAACCGTAGGAGCAGTTACCATAGTGGACCGGTAATCGTAGGAACGATCACCGTTGTGGACCGGTAACCGTACACTGAAAAAAATAAAGGTTTATGGAAGTGCAACGGGACACAAACCCTTTTTTCCGTTTTTGAAATATCTGATAAACCCTTTTGAGAAATCATAAACGTAAAAACCGTTTATTATCTTCGTCAAATATGGAAAAAAAGGGTTTGTGTCCCGTTGCACTTTCATAAACCTTTTTTTTGTTTAATACCCTCTCAAAAACGTTTTTTCCGTTTATTATTCTACGGCTTTTTTTTTCAGTGTAGGTACGGTTGCCGTAGTGAGGGGCTACCGGGACTTATTTTTTCGGGACTTATTAGAATTTTTAATAAATCCGGGATATTTCTTTCATTATCTTGCTTGGTCTATTTAGTATGTGTCATACTTTTCTCACGTATATATTACATTGTTACAGTGATGTCGCATGTATGCATATTCACTATTCTTTTTATCCTCTATTATCTCTGTGATTCTTCAATTGGTCTCTCGGTTTTCTTGTTCTTCATATATATCCCATCTATATCATACACCCGATTCAGAGTTGTCTTTTCGATTACCCAGGTCGAAAAGTCAGACGTCAGATCCAACAAGATCTAATCAGATCTTATGCATACAAGATTTTTTATATGATCTTGACATAAAATCCAGCAAGCACTTATGGGTTAATTTACTGCAAGATCTCATCAGATTCTGAATGAAAGTATCAAGCAAATATCTTGCAAGATTCAGAGATTAAGAAACGTATAATGACCGACTTTATAACACATGTCAGATCTTATCAGATCACATAAGATTTAAAAATCAAGAAACATACGGTAGACGTTAAGGCAGATCTTCTCTGATCTTCTCTGGTCGTGTGTGATCTGACGTGCTCTATTTTTATTCGAAAATTCATAATCAATCTATTCTATCATGAATAAATATTGATAAAAAAATGGTGATGAATGGACTAATATTTGTTATTTGAATTAGTAAAATGGTTTTTGAAGTCATAAATAAATGTTTATCAGTGTAAGTTGATGAAAGCAACAATATATCTTTGAAATTTGAGCAGAACTGGGAATTTTTTTCTGAAATGTATTTGTACTGGAACAATGGAGATTATAGAATAGCGCCCTCTTTAATGAAACTTTCCACATTTTTTTCTGTGAATTACGGTCTCGACAAATAGATTAAAGATCGTCTCTATTCCGCATAAAAAATGACAAATTATCTGTCTTTGTGGGTGGATGCAAAAGATAGAACTTTATTTAAAAAAAACTCTGCACATATACTAGTAATGTATAATTCCTCAATATCATTCGATGGATTGCTGTTTGCGAATAATATTAGTTTGTTGTGGTTAACAATGATATAATTACTGACAGTCTAGTGGAATCAATATAATATTTGTTACTTTGCTCAGAGTTGAACCTGAGGCTAGCTAACGTCATAAAAATCTAGCGCTTATGCAAAGTAAGATTGACGCCTCTTGATCTTCTTCACATCTTTTCTAAATTTTTGTGAATTGAGTAATAATGTGTGAAAAAAAATGTGATGTACATTTTTTTCAGAGATAGGACGAGACAGAACTAGAGCTACTTTATTGCATTCAAGAAATGTAAAAGACTATGCATTACAAAAATTGTATATTAGTTTTTTCTTTTCAGATTTTTTGTGGCAATAAATACTAAATAATACCTTCCTGTTTATACTTGACAGCAGTTTTTTTTTACGTAGTTTATAGCTGGTTATTCTCCAATGAATTCCCCTTTGTTTTCTGTCAATGATGTTGCTACGCAAGCACGAATAAATCGAGAAAGAAGAAGAAAAAAACGTCGTGATACTTATAAAAATTATAAACATTTATCAAATAATATTAAGCCTTTCAAAAAAAGATTTAAATCACATACAAAAAGAATAATAACACAACAACTTTCAACCGATCATATGTATTCGGAACTTACAAATCATTCGTCTTTTACAAAATCATCGATACCTGGTGAAGAAGTTCTACAAGATGTTAGTTTACAAGAAGAAATCAATGAACATGATATATTTAAGCTAAATTTGAATTTTTCGCCGCAAGAAGAACCGGTTACTCAATCCGATGATGAATTTAATTTTGATCAAAATAGTCCATTTTCATCGACAAATGATGAGGAATTAGGTATTATGATTTTGCTTCTCGTTTATTAAAATTCTTTATATTTTCTATTAATAGTTGATAATGTTGCAAAAAGTTTCGGAACTTCTGCATAATAAAATCGTAGAATATCTGAAACGCAGGTTATTTGATTTTGAATCTTGAGCAACTCTTCTAAATGATACCATTATCGTTATAGTTTCATATGTAAAGTTAATTGAGTTCTATATTATATTAAATTAAATCGAGTAAATATTGTTATATGTACTCAAGTTGCATTAACATACAGACACATGCTATTGATATGAACAGCAGAAAATTTCGTCTTTTCTTCTTCTGTTGAAATTAAGGGATGCTGGTGGTCTGCTAAAAACTAATAAGGAGAGACGGCATTTCTACTCAATTTCGGTCTTATATTTAATATATTTGTTTTGAAAAAAAAGGCTATATGCTAATATAAAGTTAGAAGATTTCAATTCGTACGTTTTTTGAATCTCATGTTTTTCATGTATGAAAAAAGGTTGTCAAAATAAAGATGCCTCTGTCAATCGAATATCTGCGTAGGTTTATCGGCTCAATGTTTTCCAAACGCTACTCAAATACAATTAAAATATCAAAGTTTACCATATGAAAAACTAGAACACTAGCTATTTCTTACCTCTAAAACTCGGTCAAGAAGAATTTTTATTCGAACTTTTCTTTTTCTTTTTTAGACTTCATTCACATGAATGATGAAGATCAAGAGAGTACCTCACTTGGTGAAGCTGAACGTGTGTTACATCCATATACTCATGTATCAATTAATAGTGCTATTATCGATTTTTTAAAGCTAATTCGTCAATCTCAAATCAGCAAAAAAGAGACTAAACAATTTTTGCTATTCATAAAATCGATTTTACCATTCCCTAACCAAATGCCGAAAAATATAAATACATTACTAAAACAAGTTAATATGACTGATTATTTTAAGAAAAAGACAATTTGTATTCTTTGCAAAAAAGAACTACAGAATAACCACTTCACATGTGATAAATGCACTCAAAGTGAAAAAAAAATATATTGCTCACATTCTCGACACAGATATGAAGCCATTCATAAGGGACGTTCAATCAGAAAAACTATACATAAAGACTATTTGTTCTATTATATTTCACCTTTTTTATTAAACAACTCTTCGTTAATAAAAATTATGTCAAGAAAAAAAATGGGAGATGTGAATATCAAAAGAAGTGATCATAGTTTCGTTTGCAACCAGCAAAAATAGAATCTGTTATAAAGTTTAAAACTTTTTAAAGCTAAGAAAGTATCCGGCCACTGATTCTATTTAATTGAAATTAAGTGACACAACAAAATTCCTTTTTTTTCTATGGCGTTTTTGTAGAAACAAAAATGCATAAATATACAGATGAATGAATATCTGCTCTTTAAAAAGGATAAGCAACACTAAGGACAAAGATCATAATAATTACAGAATACTAAAATTCACCTAAGTGTAGGAAATCAAGAGATGATTTATTCAACTACACAAATGTTTAGAACTATTATGGACGCTATATTTAAAGGCGTCGTCGCTTTACAAAAGGCTACTTCTCTAAACGATCTAAAAAATATTGTGGTTTTCGTATACTTCATTGATTTGCAGATATTATATTCATAGAATTTTGATAATTGACCTCACCAAAACGTTGTTCAAAATAAACTTACGATTAACTTCAAAATTTGGTGAAAATATCGTGAAAAAATGATACTAATCACAGAGAGTGCCTGAGAGTTTGGGTGGGTTTAACTCTCTCCCTTTATTAGCTGGACGTTCTCCATGAACATTCCCTATATGTACTTTATTATCAAATATTATTTTTCGACTTGCATCAAGTATTGAGCAATATAAAGAAGTAATCTTAAACCCTGATTCACAAACAATATATGATATACCATTTGCAGAACTTTATCAATATTTATTAAAAAAATATCCGAATGAGAACTTATTATCATTGCTTCTTCATGTGGATGGTATTAGTTTAGTAAAATCCACAAAACTAAAGTTGTGGATATGTAGTGCTAGCATTGTTGAACTTCCACCTGATCTACGAAGTCGACGATCCAACATGTTTTTATTATCGATATATGTTGGTTACTCAGAACCGGATGTAACAACGTGGTTAAAGTCATGTTTTCTCACTCTTAACGAGCTAAAAAGATCAGGTATTCCTAAAGTTTTATGATCTTTTAAAAATATTTTACGAAATAATTGTTGTTGTTTTTCTTCCTTTAGCTTTTCACGTTGAAGGTGTTCAACAATCTTATAACATAAAAGTGTATGGTTGTATTGGGGATTGTCCTGCCCTCAAAATCATGACAAATATAATTGGACATAACGGCTATTATTCGTGCTTTTATTGTCACATTAAAGGTATACATATTCGTAAACCACGTAAAAGACAATATCCCTACACGTCAACAATCAATTATCGCACAGTAAATTCATTTTACATTAATTCCAGAGAAGCTCAATTGAACAACAAAAATATTTTTGGACATCTTGGGATATCGATATTAAATGAAGTACTTGATATTTCATTACTACATGGCATAGTCATAGACTATGCTCATGTTTCGTTGTTACGACATTTTCGAGATGTCACTCGAACTGTTGTCGCATCATTAGCACCATCTGTGCGTGAAAAAATCGATTATTCTTTACGTACACAGGCGTTCCCTCATTTCTTTCATAGAAAAATGAGAGGAATTGAAGATTTTTCTTTTATAAAAGCAATTGAATTGAAAAACTTGTTGTTGTATGGTTTTATACCGCATTTTATACGTTATTTAACAATTGATCAATTATGTTTTTTATCACTCTTAGTTATTGGTATTCGTCTTCTTCATGCCGACAATGTTTTTAAACCTATCACAAGTACCACAGCAAACAATTTACTTTGTCGATATTATGCTGATCATCATATATATTTTTTTCATCATGCAAATCTCGTTTTACATTTACATCAACATTTTCAGG